GTATGTGGCTGGCGCCTTAGCCACTTGAGCCACAGGCGCTGAGCCCCGAACAATTATTTCATCTGCAAGAAAAGAAGATGGATCTCCTACAAATCAATACCATTATGTGTAAAACTCTTACTGGTATAACCCCACTATTAAAAACAATGTAGACAGATGTTCTCAACAACAGAGCTATCTCCTTGGCCAAGGACACTGGTTAACCTGTCAATGCAGACCTTACACTATAAGTCACCTTGATTGCCAACTTGTCCTCACTGCAGGCTGGGAGCTGTCTGTCCACGTTTATCCTGCCATCAACTCTTATTTTCCACTCCTAGTACATCCTGGCTTACCTCAAACATTCCAACTTCTTCAACAAAACTCCCATAATATTCACTAAAACAAAATAAGCAAAAAAGTTACAGGATCTGGGAAAAAGGAAAAACATGCTAACCCCCTATTACCTGTGCCTGGAAGCCAATTTATGTTATAAATCAGGAATTCTCAAGGTCAGCCTGTGGCCGAATCTTGTCTTATTTTTCAAAAATAAAGGAGTCTGTGCTTTTCCTATCATCCATGGCTGCTTTCATGTTATAATGTCAGAGTTAAATAGTGAGACCTTATAGCTTGCAAAGCTACAAGTATTCACTATCTATCCCCTTTTGTAAAAAAAGTACGTTGAACCTTTTCTAAATGCTACAAGAGAAAGCAGTATTATATTTAAACCCTACAATTAGTATGCCAACCCACAGTAATGCCCAGTAAAACAGAGATCCATTTAAACAAAAATGTGATTTGAATGTTCTGAGAAAAGTCCTGAAAATATCTATATTTAGCAGAATAATTCCACTTTCTGCAAGAAATCAATGGAATGATTAGCATTAAATGTTTACAAAAAAGCAGATTTCAAATTTGACACAGTGATACAGAATTGCTGATAAAGTGATACATCTGTGGTCACTTCGTAATTTTGGCTATGTAGCTTCCATTATTTAGGAACCTAAAACAAATACTAATTTATGTAAATGTAAGAAAATGTAGATAAGCTTCTAGAAAGTTAAACAAGACAAAAAAAGGGAAAGTGAATTCAAATGTAAAATTGCATTTCTAAGTCATAATTAGTTAGGAATATGCAGAGGTGCCGGAGGACATTAAAAGCTGAAGATTAGCTTTTAGAGATGGCTGGTAACAGTTTAAAAAAAAGTGTTCCCCAAATAACACATCTTGTAAGAATAGGAGGAGTTGATTCCATAGAGGTGGCTACTGAGCATGTAAGCAAGAAGCTTCCAGGAGTACTGATGGAATTCCTTAGACACAGATGTAGGTCTTCACCAGCAACAGGACTAAGATGGAGCTGGGAGAGTCGACAGCAGACTGTGAACTTCATTTCATCACTTTACTCCATCCTCCCTTGGTCTTTCTGCTGAAGCTGAGCACTGAGGACTGAATGACTTCGTAAGGACAGATTTTTACTGACTCACTTGACAGTGTCAGATTTTGTCAGCTAGTAACTTTGTATTTTGAGGGTGAGTATGGAAGAAACATAGGATCTCCACAGCTGGAAAGTACACCAGTGATTACGTCTGGATGTTGTGGATAGCAGATGATGTCTAGCACATCTTTAATAGCTCTGTGCCTTCTAAGTGGGTTGTAAGAACAGAGAAGGTCTTTTTTTTTTTTTTT